TTTATATATTTAGTATTTTATCCTAAGTTTTGTTGATGAAAAGATGTTCAGTTTTATTGTGCCCATATAGTGATTTTTCCACTGGATAAATCAATATAGTGATAATATGATAATAGTGCACATACAGTGGGGATCGAAAGTTTGGGCACCCCAGCTAAAAATTTGTGTTAATGTGCATAAAGAAGCCAAGGAAAGATGGTGTTTATGATCCGCCAGGTGGTGCCTCAGGCTGCCAACTGACAGACCTACTCAGAGCGTGGGGTCTAAGCCCGGGCTGTGCTTTCACCAGAGCCCCTGATGGTGGGATGGACTTGAAACAGTCCCGGGCCAGGTCACGACCTCCGAGCAGGCCCGCCAGTGGCTGAGGAGACCCTTGGGGACAGGTACCGGGAGAGCCAGATATGAAGAGGATGGCGGCCCCAGCAGGGTAGTAACGGATTGTGGGCCCGTGGGGGTAAGCGGGGTACAGAATCGGTAGGCGAGAGTAGTCGGGTCACACGCAGGGTCAGCAGGGAAGTCAATCCGTAGAATGGTCAGGGCAATCCGGGTCAAACGCAGGAGCAGGCAGAATAGTCAGGACAATCCGGGTCAAAACGCAGGAGCAGGCAGAATAGTCAGGACAATCCGGGTCAAACGCAGGAGCAGGCAGAATAGTCAGGGTCAATCAGGGTCACAGGATAGGTGCAGGAACTCAGGATCACAGAAGACCTTGCGGCAATCTGTGACAGTGCAGGGCATCTTTAAATAGTGCGCCCTGCACTGTCATTGGCCGGCTAGGACGCGCCCCCGGCTGTCATTGGACGCCTGAGGCGCGCCCGCGGCTCCTACTGCGCATGCGCGGCGTCCTGTCACCCGCGGCTCGCCGGGACCTAGTGCCCGTGTCCCGGCGCGAGCCGCCGCCACTGCGCATGCGCGAGGGACGGAGCCGCGATCGCGGACCCTGGAGCCGTGGTCCCTGACAGATGGATTAATCTCCAAAAGGCATCAAATTACAGATTAGACATTCTTATAATATGTCAACAAAAGTTAGATTTTATTTCCATCATTTACACTTTCAAAATAACAGAAAACAAAAAAATGGCGTCTGCAAAAGTTTGGGCACCCTGCAGAATTTATAGCATGCACTGCCCCCTTTGCCAAGCTGAGACCTGCCAGTGTCATGGAATGTTCTCAATCATCGTCTGGGAAGACCAGGTGATGTCAATCTCAAAGGTTTTAAATGCCCAGACTCATCTGACCTTTCCCCAACAATCAGCACCATGGGTTCTTCTAAGCAGTTGTCTAGAAAACTGAAACTGAAAATAGTTGACGCTCACAAAGCTGGAGAAAGCTATAAGAAGATAGGAAAGCGTTTTCAGATGTCAATATCCTCTGTTCGGAATGTAATTAAGAAATGGCAGTCATCAAGAACAGTGGAAGTTAAAGCAAAATCTGGAAGACCAAGAAAAATATCAGACAGAACAGCTCGCAGGATTGTGAGAAAAACAATTCAAAACCCATGTTTGACTGCACGATCCCTCCAGAAAGATCTGGCAGACACTGGAGTTGTGGTACACTATTCCACTATAAAGAGATACTTGTACAAATATGGTCTTCATGGAAGAGTCATCAGAAGAAAACCTTTTCTACGTCCTCACCACAAAAATCATCGTTTGAACTTTGCAAATGAACATATAGACAAGCCTGATGCATTTTGGAAACAAGTTCTGTGGACCGATGAGGTTAAAATTGAACTTTTTGGCCGGAATGAGCAAAGGTACGTTTGGAGAAGAAGGGGCACAGAATTTAATGAAAAGAACCTCTGTCCAACTATTAAGCATGGGGTTGGATCAATCATGCTTTGGGGTTGTGTTGCAGCCAGTGGCACAGGGAACATCTCACAAGTAGAAGGAAAAATGGATTCAGTAAAATTTCAGCAAATTTTGGATGGTAACTTGATGCCATCTGTGAAAAAGCTGAAGTTAAAGAGAGGATGGCTTCTACAAATGGATAATGATCCTAAACACACCTCAAAATCCACGGGGGATTATATCAAGAGGCGTAAACTGAAGGTTTTGCCATGGCCTTCATAATCTCCTGACCTCAACATAATTGAAAATCTATGAATAGACCTTAAAAGAGCAGTGCGTGACAGACAGCCCAGAAATCTCAAAGAACTGGAAGACTTTTGTAAGGAAGAATGGGCAAAGATACCTCAAACAAGAATTGAAAGACTCTTGGCTGGCTACAAAAAGTGTTTACAAGCTGTGATACTTGCCAAAGGGGGCAGTACAAGATATTAACTCTGCAGGGTGCCCAAACTTTTGCAGATGCCATTTTTTTTGTTTTTCTGTTATTTTGAAAGTGTAAATGATGGAAATAAAATCTTAATTTTGTTGACATATTATAAGAATGTCTAATCTGTAATTTGATGCCTTTTGGAGATTTTTCCATCTTTCCTTGGCTTCTTTATGCACATTAATACAAATTTTTAGCTGGGGTGCCCAAACTTTCGATCCCCACTGTAATTCCAAATAACTCAAAAACATAGTTTCCAAGTGAATTTCATATAAAACAACAATCAACATGCAAATATTTTTATATAGTACCTATGCCCAAAGAAAAAGTTCCAGTGTAAAAGTGTATAAAATACTCCAAATCTTCACTAACCTTTCCACTTTCCTGTGATCACTTTAACTTGCCCACAGTGTCCCCCACACTATCCATGCATCAGGTGTTATTTAAGTGTACCTTCACCTCCTTAGGTGTAACTCTAAATGTGAGTAAGGTCTATGAATGCTTTACAGATCTCTGCAACTTCTGGATTCCTCCTCTCAAACACTTGATCTTCTCTTCCACTTCCCACCTGTAATATTTGCTCATGAAAGATATAAATGCAAATGCCCCAATAGTGTAATATGTAAAAATTAATTGGCAGCACATAAAGCGTTACACTCACTTGACAGAAAATATATATCGGTTTATTGGCAAAAGATATGACAGTGGATTATCTCCCTCTCCTGTCCCTCACAAACTCTTGGGATTACCTCCCACTGTGGTGATGCACAGCCCTGCCTCCTTAGAGAGGTCAGAGCAGCATGGGGGGGGGGGGGGTTCTTTCATATTATTTGTCTACTGGGTAATCATTTGTAAAGTCTTTGTTCTAGTAAGGCATATTAAAGTATTTCAAAGGTTTTTTTTTGCAAATAGTTTGAAAACGGGACTATATTTTTGTGGTCAACATGGAGTCTAAAAATTTTTATTGAGGAAGGTTCCTAGATCTATGAAGCAACATGTAGGAAATGTAGGAAGTGGTGGTTGGAAGGCTATATTAAGTTATATTCTTGGTACAGATTTGGTTTGGTTGGTACAGGGTGGAAGACATGTTTAAATGAGCTTAGATCTTTTTGACCCCAGAGGGTGAAGGCTGAATATGCTCTCTCTGGGTTATTTACAATCAGTGTACAAATGGAAAGATATGGTGAAAATTTTTTTTTCTTTCCTACCCATAGGAATGAAACTTGTTGTAAACAATTTTGTGGCTCCCCAGTGGAAAACTTCACTCCAACTCCACCTCTTAATAATATCTCAAAGTCACCATGTAAAAAAAGAATGCTCCAAATAGTGTATTACCTTTCAATCTCAGATATTTAATTGCATCTGTTAAAACAAAGTGTAAAATGTGCTTATGCCACATCTGTCCTTACTACCAAAGCAATTCTTGTTAACTGTATAGAATATTGAACAATTTTGTCCTGTTTAAGTCAATTTGTCTTTTTTTTTACCGAGAAAAGGGCATGTCATATGTGTGTGTGCATACAGGACCTGAGCCTGTTCTTGTCTATCTCTTGTGTTCTTATTTCAGATTCTGAATCCCAGACATATCTAATTATCCTCAGTTTCATCTATATATATTTCCTTTTATAAATTTTCATAACATTTCTCACCTCTACTTTATACATTCTCTATCAATCTCATTCTATTAATCAGCATGTATGCTGCAGCATCTGGTCCTGTATGGTATTTTTTTATTTTTTTTATTTGTCCCATTTCCCACAGTCTCTTCTTACACACAGCTTTTTTAAATGCCTTTTAGCCCACATACAAAGCATTTTCTCTTCTACTTTGAAGTTGGTATACTTTTTAATGAGTTACTTTAACTGTGATTCCTTTCCAGTCACTCTTTTATTTTTTTCAATTAGTTACTTTATGCTTCCATTCCTTTAACTGTTGCTCAAATACTTCAAGTCTATGCAAATACCTTTCTGAAAGTTTTCATTCAGGTAGGGCTGCCCACAACCCCAAGCCCACAGTTTTACAGTCCTTGGTTATTGGCTGATAGGGGGAAGTGTATGCGTCTGCCTATTACCTAGAAGTAGTGAACTTTTTAGGGTGCTTCAAACGGGGACAATGGGGGAACATGGTTGAATTTGAAGTAAACACTTTAGTTTGCTCATCGTAGAACAGAAATAGTTATATACAGTGTTCATTGCAAAAGTTGCTGTTATTTCTTGCATTTATTCTACTTTTATCTCCACTTTGTTTATTTTTGTAATAATAGGTCGTGTATATCTCAATCCTTAAATAATCAAAAATGTATTTATTATTCCTTAAACTTCCTTGTTGGTTTAAATTCCCATTTTTCTCAAGATACTGTAGTTTTCCATATAAATCACAACATAGATTTCAGAACAAAGTGTGAACTGTAATATTAAGCAGTGGTCACATTACAGTGAAACTTGTATAGGTGTACAACAAGCTGAGAGTACTAAAGTTTTTCAAACAAAGTAGTGCAAAAGTTCCATAGTGTTTGGCATCCTCAGGCTAGGTATACAAATTAAGTTTTTTTGTTCAATTCAAAAACCTGAGAGATCATCATATTAACACAAGCGATGTTAGTGTAGCTATTTTCCCCATTGTGCCTTTGTGTTCTTACTGCCTCCCCCTCCAAAACAGACTGATCAGCACTTGCAGCCATTGGCTGTGAGTGCAGATCATATGCAACTGCTCTAACATGCCCCCAGGGGCGGACTGACCAATTGGAAACTCGGGCACTGCCCGAGGGCCTGGGGTCAATAGGGGGCCCCATGAGATGCCCCTGGTACCATTTTCATAGGCTTTTTTGAGTTTGGCCAAGGACACAGGGGCCCCATGATCCCCTATTGCCCGGGGGCCTGCATGAGTTGTCAGTCCGCCCCTGCATGCCCCTTTGATAAAAGCTGGTCATTAGACCGGCTTCTGTTGGGCAGGCTGTCGGCCAGTTTCTGTTGAACCCGCTGATATTAGCCCAAGTGTACCAGCCTAGGCCAACATAAAAAAAACATCCTTTAAATAGTATACATACAATCCCAGAGCCAGAAAGGCATTGGGGGGAGGGGCAAAAAACCCTATGCTTTCAGAAAAGTGTCCTGTTGCTTTAAGGTTAGTGTTCAGCAGGCCTCCACTCATCTACTGTGATAGGTGTTTGACATAACACATTAAGCTGTAATAGATCCAGGGCTGTCTCATGAAAAGACTTACAGGAAACTGAATGTTTACAATTTAGTCAACGTGCTCAAATTTTATTGTATTGGTCAAAGTTAGCCCTCTGAAATATCCATAATTTTCTATCCACTCTCAGAATCTATTCTGATCTTAAAAGTGGTTTGGAGGACTTCTAATATATTGGAATTAGGCTCTTGGCAACATTGAAGATATGTGGTTGCAAAGACATCTTATACATAAGTGGGGAAAGGTGTTCTGTGAACTGATAAACTCAAAATATCTATTATATTGCAACTTACCAATTAGATGTAATGGCTGTATTAGTTTCCTCTTTAGGCTTTCTTTCTTCAATTTCCATCTGGTGGTCCAGCCAAAAACTTGTTGTTTTTCAACAGTAAAGCTGTCTTGCAGATACAGGGAGGAAACAGACCATTTGCCATTGGAAGGGGTGCTGAAAATGATCATCTTTTATTTTTTTTATAATTGTATATTTATTAAGTTTTTCCAGGTTATACAAATATCAACATCATCAACACAGATGAACAAAGAATAACAAAAAGTATGGAGAAATAAGCAGGAGAACTCTATACAGATAAGGTAGAAAACTTCATCTAAGCCATTCAAAATAGCCAATTGAGCAATTGGTCAATTAAAGGGCAAGCCTTAATAAGTGGTCATAGAATGTCATACAATATATATATATATATATATATATATATATATATATATATATATATATATATATATATATATATATATAGGGCTTTAAACAAGACCATACATATAGAGTATAAATCTTCATTGGCAAAGAGTACAAAGATAGAAGGGAGAGGAAGGAAGCACGTGATGGACCAAATGTATAGAACATACAAGAAAAGGGCAGTTCAATTTGAGAAAGTGGCAAGAAAGATAGTTAGCTAAAGTTCTGGGATGGAGGTTTAAAGTCAAATTCCAAGTTGCCCCACACATCCCAAATCTTGGTGAATTGAGGCATAGCATCATTCACTCACTACTGCAGTAAGGTATTCCACTCTACAAATATCAACTACAGTTTGTAACAATTATGAGTGAGTTGGAAGGGCCGGAGACAACAGCCTAAAGGTATGGTTGATTCGTCAGCTAAGGCAACCGTAGTAAATAATTGACAGGATCTAGGGGTAGTATTGTTTCAAGAAGGTTTTGAAAGAAGGACTGAAGTGAGAACCAAAATGGCTGAATACTGGGACTATCCCACAAAATGTGACAATGAGTGTCTATATCACTGTGGCATCTCCAACATAGCTTTGAAATTGACTACATTTGTGAAGAACCTCAGGAGTTTTATACCAAAAAAAATAATTATATAGGCAGTCTATCTCTGTGCTACACATCTTGAGGCCTTGGAAGTGGATTCCCAGAATTTTGCCCACTGTGAGAGGGGGAGAGGTTGAAGGTACAGTGAAGAATATGAGCCCATTCGTGCATATAAGAGTGGTCAGTGTCAGCAAGTGGGCTAACTTCCTGAAGGATTTTATAGATGGATGATATTAAATGTAACCAGTAAGGGCCATGAGCATATACAACTTAAAATTGAGTGGGTTTATCTATAGTTAAAGAAGGGGACTTTAAAAAAGGCTTAATTTGGAGGTAAGAAAAGAAAATTGTTTAGGGACTTAAAATTTGGTTTGGAGGTCAGCAAAAGTGAATAGCTTATGGGACATGGGATGTACCAAATGGCGGAGTTGAAAAGCACCAGCTTGAGTCCATGGATGCATACGGCTATAGGATAAGCACATGTAATAAGCAAGGGCATGGAGAAGAGAGAGTGCACTGTTTAGAACATTTTGTCCAAATAGAGAGGGTAAACAGCATGGGAGCTAAACACAGACTCTTCAGTTGAGCAATAGATATAGAAGGTTTGACCATAGCAAAGAGCAAGGGTGTACAGGACAGGGATCCCTGAGGTCCACTCAGAACGAAATTATCTCTATTCTAGAACAATTTTATGCCCAACTATATGGCTCAGATGCAATAGACATCCCTCATGCTACCGCATGCTTGGAATAAATTAATCTACCTCAGGTTGATCCGGATGCCCTCTCTGCTGTCAATGCTCCTATCATCGCCTCAGACATTACTCTAGCAATTCAAACGTTGGCTAACGGCAAAGCCCCAGTATGACGGGAGTGACTTTTGGGGGTGGGGGGACCCCTGAATCAGCTCCCCAGATTCCTCTTATGTGTAACCCACCCTGTGCCTGTTAGGGGTACAGGGTGGTCTGTCCTGATATTGTGTAGACATGTATAGGTGGGGTGGGGGGTTGTTCATTGTTCACTGCCATGTGCTGCATCCCATTGTTCTATATTGTGTCTTGCTTCCCAGCAAACTATTATGGGATGTATGTGCCCCAGTATTGTCTGCTGCCATGTGGTGTATCCCTTTGTTCTATTGTGTGTCTTGGTTTGGTGGGGGGTGTTACCAGCAGCCCTTCCCCCTGATGGGATGGCCTGCTGATGTGTTTCCTGTTCCTGGTTGTATTCCCCCCCCCCCTGTGTATATATCTTATGTTTGTGTTAAAATAAATCAGTTGACTTCCTGTCTTAACCATTTCAATACCGGGCAATTTTACACCTTCCTGCCCAGGCCAGTTTTCACGTTTCAGCGCTCTCACACTTTGAATGACAATTGCGCGGTCATACAACATTGTACCCAAACTAAAATTTTATAATTTTCTTCACACAACTAGAGCTTTCTTTTGGTGGTATTTAATCACCGTTTTAATTTTTTTCTAAATTAACAAAAAAAAGACAGAAAAGTTTAAAAAAAAAACACATTTTTCTTTGTTTCTGTTATAAAAGTTTACAAATAAATAATTGTTCTTCATAAATTTAGGCCAAGATGTATTCTGCTACATGTCTTTGGTGAAAATAACCCAAATTAGGATGTATTATTTAGTTTGTAGGAAAGTTATAGAGTTCACAAACTATGGTATAGATCTGAAAATGGACCAATCCTGAAGTACTGACAGTCAATCTAATTTCTTGAGGTCCAAGAAAGTCAGAATAGTACAGATATCCCCAAATGACCCCTTTTTGCAGAGTAGACAGTCCGACGTACTTCATAAGAGGCATGGCGAGTTTTTTGAAGTTGTATTTTTTTTGTCATAATTTTTCGGAAAATGAAAAAATTAAAAAAATTATTTTCACTATTTTTTTTTTACATACTGTCAGCAGTACAGCGTCATCATATAACTGGGATGGTGGTGAACAGGGACACTGACTGAAGACAGAATGAAAAAAAATATATATATATATATTTTTTTATTATTGTTTTTAATTTTTTATTACATTTTTTTTTATTTTTTTTTAAGATTTGTTTTCATATTTTACTATGACCAAAGTAGTACAATGTTACCATAGTAACATTGTACTACTTTGGGGAAGTGATGAGTTTTTTTTTTTTTTTTTTACACAATTTGCTTATAGCAAAGAATTACTTTGCTATAAGCAAACATTTACCTGAATGACATTGATTCATTCAGGTTTTTTTTTTTTTTGTGCTTAGCTGTGATTTGGCCACAGCTAATCACATGACATGTGCATGTGACCTGCTGTGACCAATAACAGCTAGGCACTAGTATACAATGGATGGCATGAATGAAGCCATCCATTGTATACAACTGTCATGTGACCTGCTGTGCTTGGTCACAACAGGTCACATGGTACCGACAACTCAGATCTGTCATTGGCCGTGTCCGAGGTTCACGGACGGTGACAGATCGCACCGCTGCGCTGCTCTGCAACCGCGCAAACTGCGCATGTGCGGGAGGATGCCAAATGGCGTATACCCCGGAAAGCTACAGCATTTTTGCGGCCGCCAAACGGCTATAGGCCGGGCGGCTAATGGTTAAGAGAGTCTGGTGATGTCTATTTCCTGTATGGTCAGCGGTGGGGTCCGTGGATGGTGTTCGGAGTGAGAGTCTAATGGAAATACCCTAGTGCAGTTGGGGTCCGGTTCCGTTACACCGAGGCCCCGATGGTTACACAGCAGTATTCTGTAAACTGACCTCTAAAATATTCACCCCAACTTTAATGTCAGTATTCCAGGGTATTCAAAATGGAGGTAGCTATATCCCTTCAGGCTATTAGGCTTACATTAAACTAATAGCAAAAAAACGTAAAGATCCCACTGAGTCAGGCTCCTATCGCCCAATCTCTCTGTTAAATCTTGATGCAAAAATCCTATCTAAAGTAATTTCCAACAGGTTAGCCACCATTTTACCCTCTCTCATCCACCCTTCCCAAGCCAGATTTATTCAGGGGAGATCTGCTACCTCTAATATACCTAAGGTGCTTGCGGTCCTCAGTCATGCCCAAGTTAATCCCCTCCATGACTTAGCAATTATATCACTCAATGCTGAAAAAGCATTTGATAATGTCAGCTTTACCTGGCTTTAGATGGTCATGCAAAGATTTGTTTTTTCAGGTCCCTTTGTCCCTTTAATTACTTCCATGTACTCTAGCCCAACAGCTCAGGTCATAGCTGCAGGACTTATGTCCCATTCTATTCCCTTACACAAGGGCACTAGACAAGGCTGCCCGCTCTCCCCTCTTCTCTTCAACCTAGCATTAGAACCCCTGGCACGTTATTTACTTTTCAATTCACACCTACACGGCATCCAGCTAGGACACCAAGACCTTCGTATGGCACTGTTTGCAGACAACATCTTAATATTCAACTCTAATCCCACCTTAGACATACCCCACATCTGTGAC